ATAAATATAAATATAAATATAAATATAATTCCCAATATAAAATAATTCCTCAGCCTCTTAGGTTAGCCTCTTTTATATTTTTCATGCAAGTACTTAAAAATCACTTCACAGATCCTACTTAAGCTTTGGTTCCTTTTGAGTTTATAATTCAATTCTAGCCTTACTTTGTCTGAAGCAGTCATTTTTACTCAGTGCAGACTAGCACTGACTATGCTGCCTATTGCCCAAGAATCTAGGGTTTTTTTCAGCAGGTTTCATACTCTGACAATGACTCTCCTCTTATTCGCAATGCATACATAATGTATTTTGAGATTAAAGCAGAACATTTGCATGCCCTGTGCTTCAAAGGTCTAATAGTACCAGCAATTCTTATTCAAGCAGCAATTCTTATTCTACCTACCCATGGTGGTTTGGTATCTGTAAACGTTTCAGAATGAAACACCTTTACTGTTTTGTTGGGGATAGGGGGAAAATAAATCTTCTTTGGATTAAGAAATTCTTACCATGTTGTTACTGTCATACATTTTCTTGCTAGTAATTCTAGGGCATAATGTGTTGCTTGTGCTGCACTTTCTCCTAAGACAGTACCCACACTGATTGCCAACTCCAGTTCGTTTCCACGAATCAGGTTTGCCATCGCAAGCTTGCTCAATGAAAAAATTATATCATTAAAGGACACAAGCATTTTTGGGGATTCACCATGTTGAGCATATGACATTCATTTATGAAACTGCTTTTTACAGAAGGACAAAATACGCATTAATTAAAGGAACTTTATATGTAATTTGAGTCTCTTGAATGAGTCAATAATTGTGCACCACATGATAATCAGTTTTTAAATACCAAATAGATTTTCTTTAGCAGAATCTTCCTTTATTCAATCAAAGAGATTATACATATAGAAAAAGCATGATAGCAATTCTTTCTAGTCTTCATTAAGGACATTAGCTTTCACAGTACATATTTCCCCTCTCTTTTGATGAAAGGAGACTCAAAAAACCCCCAAAAAACAACCCAAACCAAAAAACCCAGGAACGACTCTCCAGTTCTTACCCTCTCTGGGCAACTGGAGTTGCTGATAGGCATAGCAGAATATAAACAGTACGAGAGTACACAACAACTTGAAACATGCTTATTTTGAAATACAGGCATTCACTGATTATTGCTTTCTCTCCAAACAGCTCATTAAGAAGGAATTTTACTCATTTTGGGGGATAGAGGAGGAAGAACATGCTGAGTCAGCAACAACAAAGTCCAGAGAGAATGAGGGAAAGAAACAATTTGTAAAACTACGAACAAAATGAAAATCTAATAAAATATTTCTTATGCCAGCCCTAGTTTTGTGCTGAGAGGTAAAGTTTTTCCCTATTTATTTCACCAGTTAAACTGCAAATTCTTTAAGGTAGGGATTACATCTTTTGTAGCACAATGAAGTTCCAGTTCTGAATGGGTCTTTTGAGTTACCATAAACAGTAAACAGTAATACTTATGCGTATATGTATATATGTAAGGTACTTAGGTACCTTACATTTTCTGATATAACAAGATACTGTACATGAAAATACAATTAAATAATAACATACTGCTTTCTGTGCACAAAAGAAATCTTGAATTTAATAGTCAGGGAAGTTTTGCTACTAACTTCAATATTGTAAGGATCAAACTCTAAATATATCCAAAGCCAATACTAAGTATAAGTAATACATTTTAGAATGCGGTACATACATTTTAAAAACCAGTTAACAGGTGGAGATGTAAAAAGGAAGTCAATGTTGGCCTTTCTATAGTTAAATAGAAAAAAAAAAATTACCTCTATATTTTCAACAGCTAGATGGCAACATGCTGCAAGCACTGCATGGCCATCCTGGAAATACCATTCTGCCAGTTCTTTACTGACCTTGTGCAGCAGCCTGCAAGAACAAAACATGAATTCTGCAAGACCACTTAAAGGTTGGTGTTCTTTGGCTCTTAATTTATATATGAGTCACTACATTTGCTTCTGCACCCTAAAATTTCTATATTTGACTTACACATAATGACACCACTAACTTTCAAAATGCAGTTGCAGTTTCATCCACTACTTATGTTGGTGCGTATTTAGGTGGATCAGTTTCTCAAAATCTACATCAGTATAGAAATGTCTCTTCAGATTGACAGAAGAAAAATCAAATATTTGGATATTCTTTCTGCACCTGTGAACTCTACATAAACATCTCTCCAATTGCTCAAAAACTGCATGTGTAAATGAAGTAACTACACAGCCTCCAAGCTACTTTTGTTACTACACTTATAACTTGATAATGTGATTTAGGGTTTTGAGCACTGTTCTAAAGAAGGAGACACGCACAATTTCTTTTATGGGCACATAAAATGATAATATGGCCATTAGCATACATTGTCAGAAACTTCACTTATGATAAACAGTGAAGCTTCAGGAGAAGATGCATAAGACATAAGGTCTCATAGATACTTGTTAATGCTAAATCTTACTTTGCTTACCAAAAGTTCTAAGTTAGCGTAGTACATATTTAAACATAAATTTAAGTGCATAGGAATGCACCTTAAAGAACAAGCAAATGAAAAGGATATTTATAATACGTAAATATGAAAAATCCATTTAGTGCTAGAATGAGGCACAACAGGGCAATTACTCAGTGTAGCATCAGTGAGTTAGTAACTATCAACTAAGTACTAGAAGATGTAATATTTTGTTGTTGAATTGTACATGGCTGATGCCAAATTAAACCACTGAGGTTTATCTCCCTTGATGTCTTTACATTTTGCACTAAACTGAGGCTTTAGATGTAAACTAGAACTCACTCATTGTAGTCATCTGTATTGTTTCCACCAGAATTTGAAGATCCAGTTGTTGTGGAGAGTGGTGACTTTTGTATATTTCCCTCACAAGCTGCCTAGAAGTGAATTAAAAAATAGATTAATTAATGCATCAATGAAAATGAATATGAAACATGATTTTTAAACAAAAAAAATAATCTAAGATCTATAAAAATCCTTCTAAAGCCCAGTTACAACAAAGGACGTATTTAAACCAATGAACTTACTCATAGCTAAATCTTAGCCTAGTTTTAGCTAGCCGTACAAGAAATTACACAGAAGCAAGAGACCTCTTCCTTCCTATGAATTCGCACAGGATTTTTCCAGTATTTGAATATGCTTAAAACAGGCAGAAAGGACTACTTTACACCTCTAGGAGCAAGTGGTTGTGCGTAAATGATGAATTCCATAGATATTTCTCAGCAGGTATACCAGCAAATCTCAAAAGGTTTATATAGTGGCATAAGCTGCACCTTTTTAATGTCTGGCAATAAATTATTTCTAACATTAAATGACAAGAGATCAGTGTGGGTTGAAAGGAAATTCTTTCATATGCTTTAAGGTGTAACTGGGATAACAACATTAAAACTCAGTTCAGTTAAAAGCAAAAAAAATGTCCTGTTATTTTATTGCTTAATATTATCTGACTAAACCTTTGAGACAAAGACTATTCTATGAATTGTAGTAAAAGCAATCCCTGCGATGTCTCTCTTACAAGAAAAATGAAGATCTTTCTAAAGCTTTAAGGTGCTTTAATGTTCAAATAATAAACAATATTCAAATACAATTTTTTTGTTTTGTTTTGAAAAAATTTTTATTTCTTCAAATAATTAACAAATAAACTTTTTAAATTTAAGCACATCTCAAAGTTCCATTTTGTGCACTATTCAGCTACTATTAGAAGCACAACAACATACAGATAGGCAATTTCTAAAAGACAAATCCACACACATTATTAAAGTTCTTCTCTCTGAGGCAATTGAATGTTCAAGGAGAGGTAGACATGAGAGAATGTACTAGGGACAAATCTTGATAGTTTATTTAACGAACTATATTAAGTATGCAGAAATTACTCAAAAAGAATAAAGGAACATCAGGAAACAGTGAAACAAAGTATCAGTATCCATGTTTTGTGCACCCTTTAACTTGTGTTCACATTAGTAAGCAGAAAGGACATATGTACTTTTGGTAATTTCTTGTCTTTTTTTTTTGTATTCATTTAGTTTGATTTCCTATATTCGTTACTACTGCAATTGAGCAGTTTCACCCAAAGATGCTACAGGAAATAGTATAACAAAGACCTCAGTAGAAATGCAAGAGAAATCTTACATGACTTAGATGTCAAGGGCAATATTGACTCCTGAAAATCAGGTTAATTTTCTAATTCAACCAAAACCAAATATATCAGTTTTCATTATGGACATTTGATTGAAATTTAGAAGAATCAGACTTAAAATCTGGAAGCATGAGATACCTTTTTATGATTTCTGCATAAAAACTGGCCAATAGAATCAAAAGCAAAGAGTATGGTATTGTTATTTAGCCATTTTGCAAAAATGAACAGAGCTAGCCTATTAAATATGCTTGTCATCTTCAGAGTCAGAAACAAATAGCTAAATACATCTCCTGCACACTTATATGTAATAATACCTGTGCAACAAGCAAGGCCTCTTTAAGCTGGCCTCTTGAAGTAAAGAAAGAAACAAGTTTCTTCACATCTCCAATAGCTATACAGTATGGGATGACATCATCATTTTCCTCCTGAATTAACTGATCAGCTCTCCTAATTAAAAAAAAAGGAATAAATAAACAAGAAAGATCTACATATATAATTGATCATTAAACTTATATCTATGATATAGGTGTTAGATGAAGCCATATAAAGTTAACCAAAACCCACCTGCCTTTCCAGACCTCAGAAGACTTGCAAACTGTGGATACTGCACTAAAGAGTTTCCAGTTAAACTTGCAATTTATGCTCAACCCTTTAACTTGATTCCTGTGCACAAAATCATTGTTGAAAACCCAGATAGTTCTATCCCAAAGCTTACTGAACAAAAAGTAACATCACCAGAATGCTGTAACAACAGCAAAGTAGAACTGATAATAGCACCCATCCTTCTTACTTGTCTGTGTCCTTTTATGGACAGAACCTACAATTCAGTATCATATTTTTACTACCTTACCTTTGCATTAACTTCCTCCAATATTTCATCGATACACCAGGTGCAACTGAGAGAGCTTTGTCCCACTAGAAGAAAGTAGCAATACATTTAACCTGATCATTTTGAGAAACAGCTGCATTTTAAACTAGTTTCATGTTTCTTCAATTAAAAATAAATTTGTCAAGAGGTTAAATAGGGAATGAGCTATGCATTAGACTGCATATATTAAAAATAATATAATTGGAACAAGATTACTTTTTTTCTGGAATTGCGACCCATTATGTTGCTACTCCATTTTTGCTAGCGTAGGTGGTTTGCAGAAATCTTCATATTTTATTGTTTTTCAATAATGTTCTGATATTTTACCTCTCCAAGTTCTACCATTAGTTCACAGTATCGCTGAATTTGTCCTAATCTTAAATGTATTTCTGCAGCTTCTTTAAGCCTCTCCTCTTTGCTCGGTGCACCAATACCACCTCCAAACTTGGACATTTTTACTGTCGTCAGTTCTTGTGCCTTGGACTGAGGAGGGGAAAAAAAAGGTAAAGAAAGGAAAATTTTAAAAGTACAGTTTTCTGTGATGAAAACAAGTTTTCTTAAGAATGAACTACAGTCAAACACTACAATGGAATATAAAGGCTATCATTTCAGAAAAAAATCCTTTTGCGAAAAGGCTAATTGGAAGAGATTACAATGAGATTATAGTGAACTAATTAGAAGAGTTCACAATGAGATTACAGAGAACTATTTATATTGTTAAAGTAACTGTGTTAGTGTTTTGTTGCACGCATACATTTCCTTGATTATCTTCCTTTAATCTCTTTTATATATTTTTTTATTCTCAACCATTTTCTCATATGCAATAGTAACTCACTTACATGTCCATCATAAGAATATTGATATTTTTGAAATTTCAAAAAAAATATTTGCAAACATAAACCATATAGAGCTGGAAATTGTACTTATTCCCATTATAATGATGTCCAAATAAAGAAAGAATAAAGACAGTAGGCTCAACCTGTGTCCTGATCTGTCATATCCCATTAACCACATGATCAATGAATGATTTATATTCCCAACCACTGAAATTTTTATATTAGTTGAAGAAATAAGACTAAGTTTCTCCATCTGGCAGAGTTTGAGAAACAAACTGCAGCAAGATCACATTTAACATTAAAAAAAAAAAAAGAAAAAGGAGCTTCACATTTCAAGAATTCTCAGTTTAACTCTCTATCATCAACGAACATGAGATGGCATTCTGCTATTCATGGTTTTACAACACCATATACAAAGGATAGAGAACAAACTTTGAACATTCACCACTAAAGTAAACTTCAATGTAGACCAATGGCAGCTGCTGAGAAAAGCAAAATAATGTGGTTTTTTTAAAGAATGTTACTTTTTTTTACTTGACACCTCTAACTTTTTTATCATTTTCATGCTTGAATTTCAATGTATATTCTCTGTTTGCTAGAAACAGAAAAAGACGCTTGCTCTAGGTCCCTGCTTCATCGTGAAATGTCTTGGTGCTGCATTATCCAGTTTCCTAAGGAAAAAAATGTATTAGCAGCCATACAGAAGCAGCCAGCATCACCCTACCCCTACTTTCTCTTAAAGCTCTCAAGCAAGATTCTGAGTCAGCAAAAAGTGGACAAAATGCTTTTAACGAGTATGAACTTAATCCAGGTCCACAGAATGATCAGCAATTACTATAGTTACTCTAGGTCATCTGAGGTATAAATGCATGAAATCATATTGCAAGGATAATCAGACTGCTTGCACTGCATGAGTCAAGAATTAATCTCTTCTCAGTCTACCTGGCTGAGAAAACTGGTTTTTGGACACACGGACACCCCCCGACCCCCTCCCCTAATTGAGCTTCATAGAATTAGCAGAGCAGTTGCTATTATTATAATTAACATCACCAGTAACAAACTTCCATCACTTAAGAGTCATACGGTATGTAGGACACTCTTAAAGAATCTGTGATCTTGCAAAAGAGACAGCCTGCAACCACAAACCACGTGATACCTGGCAGGTATTTAGCTCTGGGGGTGGCAGGTGGGGAGGTATGCGTTTCTTGATCCATACCAATGGATATCTTTCCTCCATTTCCAACCCAGTCTTTGGGTTTGGGATTCCTTAGTATCCCTAAGAAGTCCCTGACAGAACCACATATCCCCATATTCTGCACAAATTGTACGTCTGGTTGCATATTCATATTTGCAGCTACTAATAAATTTGTGGCCTAGTACTTAGATTTCACATTGACATCTGAGTTACTCTTCAGCTGTGTGTCTGTATTAACGACAGGTTCTTGTTTTTCCAGTCCTTCTTCCAGACAGCTACAGAGCATATTTCCGCTGACTCTCCTCCATTTTCAGACATGAATTCCCCTGTCCCTGCATCTGAACATAACTACGAATTTCATGTTTATACAATCAAATAATTTGACTTCACTGAACATAAAAGTATGGGATATATAATAGGGAAGACAAACTCACTTCGTAGCTCAGGCTGTAGGGATGCTTGCTTTGCGATTTCTTTCCTAGTTAAACACTGTAACCCAGCATTTTAACACGGAGTATGCATGAAGTCACACAGAGTGTGACTAAGCTGGATGCTATTGTTCTAACAGACTAGTATTGCACAGAGAACTGATATTGCGTAAGTATCTTTGGACACAAATAAATGGTGACCCTTTCGTAAAGCATTAGATTTCATTTTTAAAGAGTGAAATACTATATAGATTAACAACCATTTCCACATACCTTTTATGCTTCACTTACCATTCTAAATCTAGTGAGATGTTTCATATGCATAATTCCTTTGCAATAGTTTTGTGGAAGCAAACTATCATCCTGTCCTTTTATTACAGCAACTAAATCCCATAAATTTTTGCTGCCTCCTGGAGCCTAATATCGTTAGAGAAGAAAAGAGTTGTATTACAGTAAAGTTCAAGAGAGAAACCCAAACTTATAAAGGCATTGAAAAACATTTCTCAGTCAATTTAAAAAAATACAATTTCAGACCGTTTCAATATTAGAAGCTTTACTATGAAGACATGAATTAGTTCAAGATACTACAACTCCTTCAGTACTTGTTTGCCATTTTCTGTAAAGCGAAGGCATGAGCCAGGTTGGAAAAAACTTCAAGGCTCAACTGCCACAATCTGGTTTACTATCTTAATATTAAATCTAAAAATAGATACATATAGCTGTATTTGCCCAAAATCTTGCAGGCCATCAAGGTTTTGTATTTTTTTTAATAAATTTTAAGCATTTTTATTGGTCTAACATTTGAATCAACCATTCTGTAGAACTAGGACAACGGTTTAACATTCAATGAGGTTGAGAAGAGAGTGAGTAATTAAAAGCTTAAAAAAAAAAAAAAATTAAACCTTTAACCTGAAGGAGCTTTTCTAAGAATAACAGGATTATAAGTTTAGAAGTCCCGTTATTTCCGAGCTGGTAAAAAGCAGAGGAACCTACTAGAGGGAAAAAAAAAAAAAAAAAAAAAAAAAAAAAAAAAAAAAAGAGAGACTATTCCCTCTTCTTAGAGTCCCTTAAAGCTCTTACTTGACTCCCCATAGTTTAAGCGCAACACTTCATTTTCTGGACTCAAAAAGCACTGCACATAGCTGATCAAAAAAAGTTTTTGTTCTTGGAAAATTCCAGTATTCTTTATAACAGTTTTACTCTCAAACTAACATAGGATATCAAAATGCCATAACTTCTGTAAAACAAGGAATTACATAAAAAATATTTTTAATAAAACAGGAAATCTCAAGATTTGTAATTGAGGAATATTGTTTCAGCATTTCTAAATCATACAGTTCAATATGGCTAGAAATGAAAACAAATATTTTGGATGAACTAGGTCTTTGTAGATCAGTGTATTGACTTAAATTACAACAGTACTTGACACAAGCTGTAGTTCTAGGTCATTTTTTTCCTTGTTATACCTCAACTTCAGCTCCTATGCAGGTAAGCACTCACAGGAACCCAGTAATTTATATTTTTAACTCCATTGCACAGAGAGGCTGCAATGATTTATAGAAAATATTACTGTGTAATGGAGCAAAGGCAACAGATGGATACCGGGGCATGGGTCATCCAGATCTACAGCTCCTAGAAGGTAATACAGCAGTTTTGGCACAGACACTGGGGCAGTTCAAACCTTATCTATAATGAAGGTGTCCTTTTGCTGGATTAAAATTTAAAACACCAATGTAGTTTGATAAAATACATCTTTTCATTTTCTTCAATAGAAAATTCTTGTCAAATCAAACTTTTACATGGAAAATTAAATTATCCCCCCAATTTCACTTTGTGAAAAATTTGTGTTCATAACTGATAAACAATTTAGCCATAGACATTTTTACATGCAGAACTGTCAAGAAATAAAATTGATTCGTGCATATTTTTTGAGGTCTCTTTAAGACAGGAAAAAAATGGTAGAGAAGAAAGAAATTTTAGTTTTGCAAATTGACTTCAGAAGATAAATTCATGCACACTGACAACACCCTAAATTTGAAGAATACTTACTGAAAAACATTCTGAAAACCACCTTAATTTTTTTCCTTTAGGATTTCCTGTCAATTTTTCCACTTCTTGTTTAATATCCCTGGAAGCTTTTCCACACAGCAAAGGAGGAGCACCAGATTCCACAGCACGATCTAACATACATAAAATTTATACATGAAAATTTAATTAAAAAAAAAAAATCCAAAAAGTATAAAAACCCAGTATAGTAACACAGACAAAATTAAAACAATGGTATATACAATTTCCTTACCTGTATTACCGATAATCTCATCCCAACATCTATCCGCTAAGATATTTATTTGTAGAGGGTTTATAAGAGGAGTCAATGACCAGAGTCTCACAGTGGAGTCACGAGAGCAAGACGCCATAGTAAATGGACGACTAGGATGACAAGTTAATCCTAGTAGAGAGGGCATTTAAAAATGTAGTCAAATGATTCAGTTTATCTAATAACCAGTTTAATTTAACTGTTTTATAAATTCTAAAATATTAAAAAATGCATTTCAATATAGAAATAGAACAAGACTTAAAAATGTTACCATATACATCTGCACCATGATCAAAAACTGTGTCCAAACATGTTCCATCTCTTGTGTCCCAGACTCGAATTGTATAGTCCCAACTGCCAGATATTAGAAGGTAAGGAATTTCATGATTCCACATCAGTCCCCGTACTGGAGCTGTATGTCCACTAAGAACATTTATACAAGCATCCTGTGTATAATCCCATATTCGAACAGTACTGAAACAGGATAAAAAAGATCTATGTTCATCAAATCACCTACTGAAATATGATTATCTCCCTACTTCAGCAATATTCTAAGCTTCAAATTTATCAGAATATTTATTTGCAATATGTTTATAGAAGTTATAATAGAAGAGGTTGGAGCCAATGCCCTTCATGTTTAGGATGGGGTATAAAATACACCAAAGACAGTTAAACACAAACTATTCCATCCATCGCATAGTCTTTCAAAATCTCACATGCACCATTGTCTTACATGTCAGTGATGTAATATGTTATGCCCGTATGCCTGTGTGTGTAATAAATTCATCTGTTAGGACTCTCAAGAGGGAAAAAAAAGAAAGAAAAACAAAGCAAAGCAAAAAAAAAGTCTATCTTTCCTATGGCTTTAACAGCCCTCTAACAGATCCAGGAAACTACAGATCTGTTAGTCGAACCTCAGTTCACATAAAAATTATGGAGAAGATTATATTGGGTGCTGTTGAAAGGCATTTGAAGAATAATGCAATCATCAGGCACAGTCAACATGGGTTCACAAAGGGAAAGTCCTGTTTAACTAATTTGATATCCTTCTATGATAAGGTCACCCACTTAGTGGATGAAGGGAAGGCGGTAGATGTAGTTTTTCTGGATTTTAGTAAGATACTATCCCTCGCAGCATCCTTCTGGACAAGTTTTCCAGCTGTCAGATGAGCAGGCTCATTGTGTGCTGGGTGAAGAAGTGGCTAAATGGCAGGACTCAAAGGGTTGTAGTGAATGGGGCTACATCTGGCTGGCGACTGGTCACCAGCAATGTTCCTCAGGGTTCAATTCTAGGGCCAGTTCTGTTCAATATATTTATCAATGATCTAGTTGCAAGAATTGAATTTATCACTAGCAATTTGGTGATGATACCAAACTGGGAGGTGCTGTTGACTCTCTTGAGGAAAAAGAGCCTTGCAGAGGGATCTAGATAAATTGGAGCACTGGGAAATGATTAATGGGATGAAATTTAATGAGTTCAAAAGCCTGCACCTGGGATGGAGTAATGCCAGGCATAAGTATAAACTGGGAGAGGAGTGGCTGGAGAGCAGCCCTGCAGAAAGGGATCTCGGGGTGCTGGCGGACAGCAGGCTCAGTATAAGTCAGCAGCGTGCCCTGGCAGCCAAGAGGGCAATCCACATCCTGGGGGGGCATCAAACACAACATAACCAGTCGGTGAAAGGAGGAGATTTTGTTGCTGTATTTAGTGTTGGTGCATCCTCACCTTGTTTATTGTGTGCAGTTCTGGGCCCTACAATTTAAACACAATGAGAAGGTCCTTGAATGTGACCAGAGGAGGGCAACAACGCTGGTGAAAGGTTGGAAGGCATGTCCTGTGAGGAGTGGCTGAGGACTTCGGGCTTGCCTAGTTCAGAGAAAAGGAGGCTGAGGAGCAATCTCATTGCTCTCAACAGCTTCCTGAGGAGGGGAAGTGGAGAGAGAGGTGCTGATCTCTTCTTCCTGGGATCCAGCGACAGGACGCATGGGAATGGTTCAAAGTCATGTCAAGGGAGGTTAGACTTGACATGAGGAAGCACTTCTTTACCAAGAGGGTGGTCAAACACTGGAACAGGCTTCCTAGAGAGGTGGTCAATAACCCAAGCCTGTTGGTGTTTAAGAAGCATTTGGACAACACCCTTAACAACATGCTTTATCTTTTGGTAACACCCTTAACAACATGCTTTATCTTTTGGTCAGCCTGGATGTACTCAGGCAGTTGGACTAGATGATTGTTGCAGGTTCCTTCCAACTGAAATATTCTATTCTATTGTCTCCTCTTCTTTGAACATGGCATTTGTCACAAGGCAGAAGTGGACACTACACTATCTTAAATTGTGAAACTCCCACTACAATTACACAAGTAATGAGGAAGAATTCGCATCAGCTTTCTCATTATTTTTTAGTTCCCTTTTAACCAAGTAAGCTTCCAACATTTCCTTTTGTTTTCAGTAGTTGCTATCACTGAGCATAGCTAATTAAGCAGATTACAGAATCAGGAAGTTAAAAGTTCAGTTTCCTGAAGAGATCATTGTAATTCTGGCTAAATTTGCTTACATTATCAAATATGTTACCAAAGCTCACTCATGGCAGCAAAGGCACTTATTACAGTTTCTCCAGTGCTGCAAAGGGGCTGTTTGATGGGTCTTGCATCACAAAGTTGAACACACAAGTTGGGCGGCCATTTCATATATTTACATATATATTGCCCTACAGCAATATGTGCTCATTTGTGACTCTTGCATACTGTTCCTAGGTACTTTATAAGCCTAGGTGCTAAATAGGTCATCTGAAATAGTTCCGAGTTCTACAAACAGGAGTGTCACCAAGTACAGTAAGCTCAAAAGACTGCTTACTTTTTGTGTGACCTGGGACTAAGTTATTCAACTTAGTCAACGATTCAACGATTCCCTTCCCTCAAAGTGAAAGTGTGACTGTGTTCTGGGAATCCCTCTGTTACTAAGAGTTATTACATAGCCATGATTGGAAATAAAATCAGAATATCTCATAATGACAAGATGACAGAATTTTGGATTCACTAATCCTTGCTCATGTGAAACAGAGAGGATTTACACGGAAAAAAAGTTTATCAAGTGGTTTCTTTCATTAATCATTACGCTATGAACTGACAGATTTTGCTGCAAGCATAGACATCTAATGAATGATATTGGGGAAAGCAATAGAAGTCAACACTCCAAATCTGTGATCCTTTACAGAAATGTTTTATATACTGTGCAGGGAAGTGGCTTAGAATCATAGAAAAGTCCTTCCTCCTGCTTACCATAGACTGATGCACTCTTCCTCAATAAATGTCATCAAACCCAACAAAAGAGAAGTACCTAGCACTCATTAAAAATCTCCACAGATTCTACTTAATTATACTTTTGAAAGACATCTAGTAAGGGTGCAGGTCTTGCACCCTTATCTAGACATAATTTAGGCATGTACTATCCTTGTATCATTACTGGGAGTAACAGGTATCAATCACTGACTCGACTCTTGGGAAAGCATTTAGAAAGCTGTGACAGCTACAGTTGCTACAGCAGTTGTGTTGATTTTAGATAATTATCCTGCTGCCCAAATACGGTATTAAGCTAAAAGCAAAGCTACAGGCTGAATCCAAACAAGGCAGAGATTTAGATTATTATATTATTCACAGGCTTTTTGAAGGTGCCAGTATCAGTACAACTAAAGATCTAAAGTTTCCTCTACTACTTCTGTTTTAAGTTTTCTAATAGTACATACCCATCATCAGAGCCACTGCAGAGGATTCCTTCTCTCAGGGGAGACCACCGTACATGAAACACCTTTGCAGTATGCCCTGTAAAAACTTTCAGTGGTTGATCTGAGCTGGTTGCCAAGTAGTAAACACGAACATTTTTATCCTCACAACCAGTAGCTATCATATCTCTGCAAAATAAAAATAGCAAAATCCTCGGTCACTGGGATCATCAAGAGTACTTATTTATTTTAGTTTTAAAAAAATAGGATGCATATTTTGTAATTTGCTTTAAAAAGAGCTTATTTTTGCTTCTAATTTGTCTCTTTATGATGTAATTATTGATAACCCAACTAAATATACTAAATCAGAAAAAAAACTTGATAAAGATCGATGAGTTTACAACAGGGAACATTATTTGCACTACAGTCTGACCGAGCACTCAACACTACTATTAAAAAGACTGAATTACTGTATAATTGTTTTGACAAAAAGTTCTCATCTTGTTGTTAGGAATCACCTGCAAAATTAAGATATAGCACAGTGTATTTAATTGCCTGCTATATCTTCAGCTTTTCAGTCATTAGAAGGAAGTTAATCTAAACCTCCCTTTCCTGATATTGAACATCTGCTTTTTTTCCCCCCTCATTATACACTCTGCTAGAGATTTTTTTTTCCCCTCCCATCAATATGATAAGATCCTCTCTTGAAAGTTAAGCAGTCTGTGTCATACTCAAGACATTAACATGCTGGGCAATGAAATACACTACTGAGAATATAGAGCTGCTACAGAGATATCGTACTGTGGAACAGAAAAAATTTCTGCACTTTAATATCACAGTAAATATCACATTCTAAATAAGTTTGTGTTATTTTACTGGTAATCAGTTTAAATAATAAATATTATCAATTCTTTGGGTTAGTTTTCACTTACTTGTTGTTTTGACTCCAGTCACAGCCGAACACTGCAGCTGGATGTTTGTACTTGTGAAGAACCCTGCCATCAATGGTTCGAATAATACTGAAACCAATTACAACATAATATTGTGAGGAAAAAAGCATTCTGAGTAGGCTATCCAAAAGTCAGGTTTGATTTTGTGCAAATAGGCCAGATAGCAAAAAATTATACAGAAAGAATATGAGAAATTTTTATTCCTACAGCCCCTCAACTACAAGGCTAACTATATATTTCCCAACAAAAAATTTAACTGGACTTCAGAATCCATGTTCTTTCACAGGGGCTGTGAAGATGTCCACTGTGACCCTGAAAGGATCCTCACAGCCCAAAATCTAAGTTGCAGTTATGGCCTTAAGGTGCAAATAGATCTTTAGGGATTTAAAAAAACACAAACCAAAACAAAACTTGATTGATCAACTGTTATGCTCCTGTTGTGTTTGAGCTGAAATAACATGGGCAGCAAAGGAAAAGAATGAACAAGGATTTAAAAATGTATTGAAACACAATATATGCAAAATTGTTCTCAGTGGGCATTTGCAAGTTTTTACAAGGATTATGCTCCTCTAATAATACAATTGCAATTCCTTTGTTCTAAAATAGTGAATTCTAGTCCTTGAAATAACAAACTTTCAAAAAAATTAAAATTGAAGACAAGTACAGTGAGATAGGTTTTGAAAAGCATCTTCCATATCTACAGATAAGAAGCCAAGAAGTATATTCTTGGCTAAATAAAAGCCAATATTCCGTTTCACTATCAGAGTGTCTTAGACACTATTCCTTTTGCAAACATTTCCTTATTTTTTTTCTTAAAATCATGAAAAAATATATTTTAACAAGTACAGGAAATAAATATAATCCAATAAATATAATCCAGTAAGAATAGGTTTAAAATCAATCACTGATTGTACTGTCAAAGTTGACTGACTCAAGAAGTGCATTTAGCAAGGTTTTTTTTTTTCTTCCAATAACACTCACCAAAATCCATCACTGCTGCAGGTTGCTATTCTTTTGGAATCTTTATGACTCCAGGCAATGCAGAAGATTCCATTCTTTCCATGCTTCAAAAAATGCAAAATACCTATCAATAAGAAATAATTCACCCCTTTTTTCTCTCATCTATTGACTCATCTTTTTTCTTTTTTTCTCCTATGGGCTTCAGCCTTTTTCTCCCAATAAAGTATGCTGTACAAAACCACATCATAATGAGTCCTCAACATGGCTGAGATATATGAGAATCCAAGTCCAAAAGATTAGGACTGAGAAGAGGGACAGTAAAACTGCCATACTCTCCAGGATCCAAGAGACAAAACTGGGTTAAGTTGAAGAATAAGCAACCCATAACCATAGGAACCTGAAGGTTGAATAAAGGTTAGCTACTTTTTGGAATAATTAAGTTAGTGGGCACGAGTAACTGTGGTATGTGAAAACTAAAGTAGGATGTGTATCAGGACAAGTGTTCAAGAAAAGATGTTTAGTAGCACAAGTGCAAATCTTCTGAGTGTTAGAACTCAGGAACACCAACATGTACGTATGTTTGTTTTCTGCCCACCCTCCACCTCCCCCCCATCTCTGTCTTCTCAAAGAGCATCCTTTGTCCTCTGATGCAGATTCCACAGTTAATTATGTCTGTATAATCTGAAGATTACAGCCATATACTAAGAACATACAAAATAGTATAGAATGCTACAACACAGTATTAAATAGCTCCTTCTGCCAATAACAATTATGCTACTGTTTCAGAACTTGCATATGCCTGCACAGATCTGAGGTAATACAAGGCAGGACTCTAAATGAGGCATACTATTTAGAGTGCTGCAAAATAGAGCTTTATTGGTCTAGACTTCAGGGACTGAATTTTTTTTCTGGACCTTATGGCTGAAAATACAGAACGTCATTTCACATTTTGATACCCAGTTCAAAGTCTATATGTCCATATACATTTACACATTTAAGAAAGAATCAGCTATGCTTTTGCTGTGTATCACTACAGGACCAGTTTTAAGACAATGGAGACCATCTGTTGCTTCATCATTGTCATATCACAAACCCAGTCTGAGGAAATAAAAATATTTCTGCCTCAGAGATAAACTGGCACCTACATAATTCTTTCTATTGTTTGCTATATTATAGCACCTTTTAAAATCATATGAATTTAGACCCATGTTTACTTATTGACACTAGAGGGAATGACTAACTTACACGTCATATAGGCAAAAAAAAATGTAATCTCATCTTACCTCACTGAATCTGGTTATCATTTTGCCTTTTGGGACATCCCAGATGAAGCCACCATTTCTGGACGTTGCACCTGCTATGCAGTTCAGATCTCCTTTAGAGAAAGATATTTGTAAGATCCCACAATAAACATAAGATCACAATATTGTGTAATGTGTTTCTACTTTAAATTCAAGAAATGTAATATAAACAGAAGACATCAATGGCACATAAACAAGAGTTTTTCATAGTTTAAGGCCACCATTTGAAACTGAGTCACAAATACTAATTTCAACAAAAGCCTGACCTGCTTTTCTACAGTCCTATTTCAAGGAAGGGAAAAACAAAAGTTGTATTGTTGCAAAATGTATTCTCAATGCCTGCTGAAAGTGTTGCAGTTAAGGTGACAAGAAAATAATGTCCATAATGCATATGACTTAGATTTAAAAAGAGATATAATCTCAATGTTTCAAGCTTAAAGTTGTAGCAACTAGAGCATTTTCTTTCAAAGTTCCCTACATACTAAGACAAATCAGAAAGAATGTGACAGAACACATAATAGTACTTGGTTTTCTTAATCTTGCACCTCTGCAGCACCTAAGTCCATCAAGAATGTACTTGAATCTAACCACACTGCAGTGTGAAAAATCTGAAGATATGACTAGATATTAAGAACCTGAAAACTGAATTCAAGTCTAATCCAAAAGCCGCCAAATTCTCCTTCACCACAGTGACTCTCTATCCCAGCATAGCTACACTTCTCCTAAATCGCTACATGGCATATCTATATATGTTTTGACTGTTGTTTTATACTGCACTTCAGAGGCAGAAAATGCAATCTATGCAGGAGGAGTCTAGAAAGGTATATATGAAGATGGAAAGAGATTGAGGTAGGAGAACAGACAAAAAAAGAGAGGGGGGAAAAAAAGAGTTATCACTATGTTCAAAGGTCTTTTGAGACCAAATACAACTAGTGGCATGCATTGGATTATATATTAGGAATGAAGATAAATGATAGTACAAGATGGAGAGGAACTCTCTAGGAGTAAGGGATGTGAAAGAAGCAGGAAAAGCTTGATCTGGGATGGACAGGAACTTTTGGACAGGATTGTAAGGAACTGAAGTTGAAGCACATGCTTTCTATTATTTTTTTTTTTTTTAAATAAAAAATAACCAGAATGCAAGACCTACAGGTCTCACAGATAATAGTTCAGTTATACTTAAACCTTATAAGACACCCTTCCATCTAAAACTCATACTTTCATAACACAAATTGCTGCTAGTCAATGCTAATGCAAAGAACATTTAGATCTAAAGCAAACTATTCTTACCTGGAGCCCAAGAAAGGGAATAAATAACCCCCTCATTACCAGGAGATGTGTAAACCGCTGTTAAAGTATTTATGTCCCAAACTTTTATTGTGCCATCAAATGAAGCTGTAGCAAGAAGATCAGGGTTATCAGGTTTGAATTTGCAATCAAAGATGGTCTCAATATGTCCCTTAAATGAAACAAATATTTAATCCATTTTTATTACATTCGATTTTTTTTTCAGAAGTCCAACTGTAGATCAAACTCTAAAATACATGGTATTATAACCTGTCAGATCAATTATGCATTCCAAAAAACCTGACTCATCAGTCAAAATTAAAAGGCATAAAATAGCTCGGACTATAATACTCCTCCCTTTCATAGATCATTATTAAAGAGAGAAAAATTCTGCCCTGAAACAGCAGGGTGACACAATGCCAGGGACTTGTTAGCATTTTCCATTGGAACCAAGCTGCTAAAAAACAGAATCTAAGAAGTTAAACTAAAAAAAAAGAACCAAGAAACAACCAAGA